AATATCATTTAGATTTAGATCGAACTACAACACAAAAGTAGCAAAGTTTCATTAGCATATGTATATCGAGTTAATCAGCAAGGTAAGCCTAGCACGACACAGAACATCACACGCCAAATCCAATTTAAGCCCATGGGCTTCATTGATGAACGCCCAACTTTGCCCAAGTGATCATGAACTGGCCCCGTTCACTTCGCTGATTCGAGTTTAGAATTCGAGTTTAGATGTGATTTTATGTGAGAGCTTTTTACTATAGTAAAAAAGTTAGATGTGATTGTTTGTGAGAGCTTTTTACTGTAGAAAAACTCGAATTCTAAACTCGAATCAGCGAAGTGAACGAGGCCGCCTCTAGATAAGTGCTTAACTTGCATTTCCTTAAAAAATTTTAATATCACCAAGTGGGGTTGAACAACGATATAGGTCTTGTTCACTTCGTGGATTCAAGTTTTTAATTTGAACTGAGATGTGATATTTTTTGAGAGTTTTTCACTGTAGTAGAAAAATGTAAATATGACATTTTTAGAGAGAAAATATCATTTAGATTTAGATCGAACTACAACACAAAAGTAGCAAAGTTTTCATTAGCATATGTATACCGAGTTAATCAGAGGTGAGCCTAGCACGACACAGAACATCACACGCCAAATCCAATTTAAGCCCATGGGCTTCATTGATGAACGCCCAACTTTGTGCCCAAGTGATCATGAACTAAACCTCTAGATAAGTGCTTAACTTGCATTTCCTTAAAAAATTTTAATATCACCAAGTGGGGTTGAACAACGATATAGGTCTCGTTCATTTTGTGGATTTAAATTTTTAATTTGAGTTGAGATGTGACATTTTTTGAGAGTTTTTTACTGTAGTAGAAAAATGTAAATATGACATTTTTGAAGAGATTTTTACTGTAAAAACTTAAAACTGAAAACTCAAATCGGTGAAATGAACGAGACTATAGAATATTGTGATAGGCTTGTAGTTGAAGGTACAAGTATTGTTGATTCTCTTTAAAAGTCTTAAATATAAAAATTTAGTGGCGTCACACCTCCCCACATTCTTAACGCTAACATATTAGTGTGGTTGAAGTGACGCTTTCCTCGTCAGGCAACAAAATCTTCAAAGAATACTTTTGTTACCATCCCGAATGCCACTTATCCTAACAATATTTATAGACTATTGTAGTAGGTTTGTGGTTAAAAGTTTTAAATTTCGGTGATTTTAGGTCCACTTAATTCGTTGAGTTAATTTGAGTTGAAATGTGACTTTATGTGAAAGTTTTTTACTATAGTAAAAAAGTTAAATGTGACTGTTTCTGAGAGCTTTTAACTGTAACAAAACTCAAATTTTAAACTCAAATCAGTAAAATAAAAAACGCCTTTAAAATCTCAAATTTAAAGATTTGGTGGCGTCACGCCTCTAAATATTTTTACCGTTAACACATGTAACCCGTTTAGTTCGTTGATTCGAGTTGAAATGTGACTTTTTGTGAGAATTTTTTATTGTAGTAAAAAAGTTAAATGCCGTTTAGTTCGTTGATTCGAGTTTTTAATTCGAATTGAAATGTGACTTTTTGTGAGAATTTTTTATTGTAGTAAAAAAGTTAAATATGACTGTTTTTTAAAATTTTTTACTGTAATAAAATTTTAATTCTAAACTCAAATCAGTGAAATGAACGAAACTTATAAATGAGGTGACGCACTTCTCATTGAAATGTTAAAATCTTCAACGAACTTCCATTTAGCGGCCCCAAATGCCGCTTTATCCCTCATCCGTGCCTTTTTGCTCTACCAAAGTGAAAATAATAATAATAATAATATACGGGGGCAATGACGTAATTACACAAACGGATTTATCCTTCCACTCATGACTCAACGACTGGAGTCGTCCAAATCAGACAGACAGGCAAGACAAAGAGAGAGGAAATCGAAAAGGAAAAAAAAATGAACAAAGGCGGCGGCGGAGGAGGAGCAGCATCGGGCGGAGCAGGAGGCGGAGGGCCGACGGCGGCAGCAGCGGCGGCGGCGGCGCAGAAGCAGAAGGCGTTGATGCAGAGAGTGGAGGGAGACATAGCGAGCATAGTGGACAACTTCAGCCATCTGGTGAGCGTTTCTAGGGTTAGCCTCCCGGACTCCACCGTCCGGAACTCCCAGGAGTCCTTCATGATGGAGATGCGCGCAGCCAGGATGGTCCAGTCCGCCGACTCGCTCCTCAAGCTCGTCTCCGAGCTCAAGCAGACCGCCATCTTCGCCGGGTTCGCCTCCCTCAACGACCACGTCGATCAGAGAACCGCCGAATTCGATCAATTGGAGGAGAATACCGATCGATTGCTCGCTCGAATCGGGGACGAAGCTTCCGCTCAGCTAAAGGAACTCGAATCCTGTTACTACTCGTCGTCTTCTTCCTCTCAACCGTTGCAGATTCTGTGAGAAACCCGAATTGTGGATTTTGCTTCTGTAAGCACTTCTCATGTGTGTTTTCATAGCTTGTATGTAATGCACTAATTTTGCAATTGGATTCCCTTTTTGATCCTCCATTTTAATGTAGAAAAATGTTCTTTTGACAGCATTCCATTAAAGTAACAGAAAATTGTTGTTCTCTTAAATGTTCCATTATCAAAATTGTTATATGGATATAAAACTAATTGGGGTTTGGCTTTCCGATATGTGTTTTCATAGCAGTCTATGTAATTGCAAGAATTTGGCAATTTGCTTCCCTTGTTATCCTCCATTTTTACTTTCACTGAATGTAGATAATGTTCTTTTGACAGCATTTCCATTATCAAACTAGAAACAAAGATGGCATCCACAACCCTTTTTGTTATATATGTAACTTGTATCTTCTTATCCAGCTAAGGGTCCCTTAAGTATGAAGCTAGTGTTATTCTTTGAATTGCTATCAAATTGTTATGCATTTATAACGTATGATAAAACAACAATGTTCTATGAACTTATCACTTATATTATTCTACCATAATCAGCTTTATGACATTCTCTCCAGCATTACATCTCCTTTCTGCAAGAGTTGGAATTTGTAATTCGAGCAGATGAAGGAAAGGTAAAACTAACTAAGCAAATCATTTAATCATGACAGATATGAAGGCGTAGTTGAAAATTTTTCCATGTAAAAGAAAAATGGAAGATGGAAGTTCTAGTATATCAGAAAAGTGTTAGTAGGAACCACTCTGGTGTGGCGGTTGCAGGTTTTGCTGGTAGAGTGGATTGCTTGTATGATGCTTCTATTGGCAGAACTTTTGGCTGCACGTAAAAGCCTGATTGTGGCTAATAAGACTTTAGGGCTCAAGAGGCATATGGTTGAGTCCGATGCGAGTTCAGCAATTTCCCGCGTCTCTCCAGATGTGGTTTGCTGGCTCCTTCTAGACCAATTGTTGATGACATTTAGGGCTTGTTTGGTTCACTAACTTGAATTCATGATTTTGATTTTGTTCTCTCATGAAAAATTTGAATAAAAAGAAGTTGCCGTCAATAGGTTGTTTCACAAAATTTGAATTCAAAATCAAATCACCGACTTGAACCCATAAACCAAAAGGGCCATAAAGATTTGCTTCTGAAATTGAGGTTCACAATTTTCTTTTCATTCCTAGAGAGCTCAACTCTGTGCTCAATGCTTTGCCCCAGTTTGGGCATTGACGTTTGGTTCATGGATTCAAAACCATGATTCAGAACCATTCTCGATTTACGTGCGTTTTTTATGAGAGAAAACACTGTAGTGAATCATGAATTATGATTCAAATTACGGTTTGAATCCCCTTACCAAACGGACAATCGCGTGATGCACTTCCTATTTGTATTAGCTTGTTTATGTGTGCTTCTTTGCCCATTTGAGGCTTTAATGGCATTTTCAGTTCAAAAAAGAAGAAAAGTTTGTCCAATACACAAATCTCATGTTTCAACTTGCACTATTCTACAAGTCACGCATCCCATTTACATTCTCAAGCTCAATCATGTGTTATGTTAAATGCACAAAAGGCGCTAAAAGAGAGAACAAAAAGAACAAGGAGAAAAGTTTATTTTGATGAGAAGAAATCATTGAAACAATTAAGCTTGAAAAACACCTAAACAAGAGTGAAACCATGTTGTCTGTTTGGCATTGCTTCATGTAAACTTCTTTCGGCTTTCCAATTCCAAAATCTGCTTCTTGGAAATGGAAATATTCCTTAGGTGTTGTAAGATAATTAAATCTGATTAATCCTTCATTATTGACTTAATATTTTCGAGGTTAGATAAAACTTCAGGTTTATATTTGCTAATCCTTTTCCGTTACGTTTAATTTTTGAACGAATCTGACACTAAAGATGAAATTTTTAAAGGATTGATAACATCAAGAGAATTTTTGTAATTACAGGGCCTGTTCACTTTGCTGATTTGAGTTTGTAATTTGAGTTTATATGTGATTTTATGTGAGAACTTTTTACTGTAACAAAAAAATTAGATATAACTGTTTCTGAGAACTTTTTACTGTAACAAAACTCAAATTCTAAACTCGAATTGGTGAAGTAAACGGGACCTGAGAATGCGAAGTTGAATTTTGTATTTCAATTGAAGGCATTAGGCATGAAACGACTTTATATCTTTTACCTATTTTATTATTCCTAATAAAAATGTAGCCCAACACTTTTGAGCCAGATACCACAATACGAAAAAAGGCGGGCTCCACATTTAAAAAACACCTACTATGAAATTTAGGAAATGTTTGGTAGAAGGATTCGTTCCTTGATTCGAATCATGATTCATGATTCGCTACAGTATTTTCTCTCACAAAAAATTCATGTAAATAAAAAATGATTCGAATCACATGGTTTAAATCCTCCAACCAAACGTCCTCTCAATTTTTGTCTCTTGCTATATTGGAGCCGAATAATTGCTCAATTAAAGATTTTTAAAAAACAAGTAACTTTTAAAAAATAATAATAATAATAATTAAGGGTTTTTCGGTTGTATTTTTGAGTTATGGTGATTTAAGTGTAGATCTTGAGTTGAGTTTGAGTTATAATTTGAGTTGAAGTTGTAACTTGAGTTTGTGTTTGGATGTGCACATTTGAGTTATGATTTGAATTGAGAATCTATTTGAGTTTGTGTTTGAGTGGGTCAAAACTTGAATTTATATTTAAATAGTATTTTAATAAAAACTCAATGGTGATGTAAAATTTTAATAGGGTATATGGGTGGAATTTTATTCATCTATTCGTTGTGAACGCATATAAAAAAAATCATCTCAATCGGAATTAAAACGAAAAAGTTATGACGTTTTCAAGAATAAAAAAATATTTGTTTATTAATGAGTTTGAGTTTAAGAACTTGAATTGAAGGGAAAACTTAAACTCAGATTTTAGTCCCAACCTCAAGTTAAAACTCGAGTTAAAACTCAACTTCAAACTCAAATTTTACAAACGAATATGAACTTAAATAAAATTGTAACTTGAGTTTAAACTTTTTTTAAATTTTACTCCAAAAAAACATGCCATAAATAGACAGAGAATTGCCATCTAGTTCAATGGTAGAAATTTAGGTCGACCTTGATGCGACAGGCTTAAGCCTTACTCTTCAATAATGCCCCAAAATTATTGACTTTATTAAAGTTTCACTAATTAATTATCCTTTATTATTTTCAGTTACTCTTAGCAATCAAAGCTTAATTAGTTAATTGGACTTTTTCTTTCTTTACTTTCTTCCAAAACGGTAGACGTTTCTTCTTACTTTGTAAAAAGAAATTATTTGGCTGTTCTTTCTTGGAAAAAAAAAAAATGTGATAAATGCAATAAAGTTATAACTTGTTCTTGTGTATTTTTTATGCATGGTTGCCATATTTAGCATTTCGCAACTACATTTAGCCTATTGAAGCTAGTCATAACTCATGACTCATGAAACTGCTCTTTAGTCTTTAATTTAGTGAAATTTCCTACGCATTAAATTATACTGTTATTGAGCGTTTTGTTAGCTCTAAGAGAAGCGGAATTCGAAGAATTTTTTTTTTTTTTCAACTTTTTAAATTATTTTTCATATTTTCTCTGTTTTTCCTTAAGAGTCATGGCTTTGATACTACCAACATTTTCATCTTCAAGGCTTTTAAGGAGCCTACTCTGTGTTAGTGTAGTCGCTTTACCTGCTTGCTGGTTCTTGTTTGCGAATAATAAAGGTTTGTCAAACTTCATTTTCAATTTTATTCGCTTAAACTTGTGTGATCAATGTGGAAACTTTTGTTGCAGTTACAGTGAATGTGACAAAGGGTGAATCAAGTATTGAGTTAATAGCAGAAAACCCTGCGGTCTGCGAAGAAATGAAGATTAGCCGATCGGATTTTCCTAGTGACTTTGTGTTTGGAGTTGGTTCTTCTGCTCCCCAGGTACATGTTTCTTGAATGATGACATATATGAGCTTACTTATTTATTTATTTATTTTTTAATAGAGTCTTTCTATGATAGGACCTCATACCAGCAGTGCACGTTTCTGGTCGTTTTTAATACAAATCTGATTGCTAAAAATAAAGACCTATTGGTAGTTCATTTTTTTCAAGACGTATCGTAGAAATCTCATTTTTATAGTGGTGAAACTACTTATTGCATATCGATGCATGTAAATACGTAACTTGCATTGGAACTTTGCAGACTGAAGGATCAGCCAAAGAAGGAGGGAAAGGACCAACCGTTTGGGATTACCATGCTAAAAGATTTTCAGGTTTAGATAATAGAAATGACCCTTTTCTTTATTTACCAAAAATAATGACAAACCCTTTTGTATTCAAGTAAATGGAAAACTTGCTTACCAGTTTGTTATTTGCTCTATGTTGCAGATAGAGTGGTAGATAGTAGCAAGTTCCCTATAGCAATCGATTCATATAAGCGATATAAGGCGAGTAGAAGAAGTGTTTAGTCAGACATGATCCAAGTATTTTTTTTTTCCTTTATAAGAATTTAACTTGTTTGTCAAATTTTTGTAGGAGGATGTGAAACTTGTGAAGGATCTTGGAGTTGACTCTTACAGATTTTCCATCTCCTGGAGCAGGATTTTTCCAAGTAAGAAGTTTTTCATCCAACAAAATGTTCTCAAGTCTAGATTAATTCCCCTTATTCAATATATATACATATATATATATGTGTGTGTATATATATATATGTTTGTCTATAACAATCATGTTGAGATATTCAAATATATGTAGATGGATCCAAACGTGGTGGAATAAATCAAGAGGGTGTTGATCACTATAACCGTCTGATAGACGAAGTGATCAGAAATGGTAAAAAGCTATCAAATCTTGAATCCTTTACTTTTTATTTTCCACATATGCAATTACCTTCTTTTTTTTTTTTGAACTGGTTACCTTAACATTTCTAAAAGCTGTGAATTGTGATGTAGGCCTCAAGCCTTTTGTAACGCTTCTGCACTTCGACTTGCCACTAGCTCTGCAAGACAAGTATGGTGGCTACTTAAACATCTCTTTTGTGTAAGCACTTTCTTATAGCTTCTATGTTACATATGTCCGTGGGTAGGTTTCAGTGTTGGCCCCCAAACTATGCTTCTTGTACTGTTTTAGCCCTCAAATTCAAAACGTTACAAATCGCACTCCGATCTATTAAAACGTCCCAGATTTGACCCTTCTGTCACAAAATCGTCTAAAATGGAGTCAACTACATGATCCTCACTTGCTTGGTTAATGAAGTGTATTTTAGACAAATCACACAGAATAAAAAATTTAACCCTCGCATGCCTCGTTTTCCAACGAGAACGTGTAGAGAGTGCACACACTTTTTTCTTTCTTCATTTTTTAATTTTTAAATTTATGTAAGTATGATGTGTTTAAAGTGCCCTTTAAGGTACCCTTCATTGACCAGGCATGTGAAGATCACATGGTTGATTTTGCCGAGTTTTTTAAGGACATTGTGATGGAAAGGCAAACGTGGGACTTTTTGATAGATTGGGTGTATTCGTAACATTTTAATATTCGGGAGCCAAAATTAGTATTAACCACATATCCGTACTATATCAAGAAATTGGATGCCATTGTAACTTTGTTTTTTTTTTTTGGTCTTCTACAGGCATGATTTCAAGGACTATAGTGAGCTATGTTTTAGAACATTTGGAGACAGGGTTAAGAATTGGGTTACCATAAATGAGCCTGCAGTTTCTGCACTATTTGGGCATGAAATTGGGTTAGCACCACCAGGGAGGTGCTCACTACCAAACCTGTTATGCCCATTAGGTGGTAATTCATCAACAGAACCTTACATTGTAGCTCATAACCTTATTATTGCTCATGCTGAGGTGGTTAGGCTCTATAGGAATAAATTTCAGGTAAAAGGAAACCTCATTCTATCTACTAATTTTCTTTGGTCTCTCCCAAAACTTATTAGAATATAGCTGTAAGGTTGGCCCTGTCTAGAGCCCATCACTATTGGCCTAATCCCGGTTCGGGCTAGCCAGTCAATAGTTTAGACCCAAAATAAATTTTTAAGTTAGGACGGGCCGGCCCAAAGTCTTTTTTTTTAATTTTTTTAAATTACTCGTAAAATTTTTAGGTCGGTCCCGCCTAACGTTGACTTGTCGGGCTTTAAGATCGGCCTGGGCTTTCCCCCTCCTTTTGAAAACCATCTTTGGGCCGGGTCAGGCGGCTTGAACATTCACTTTTATATCACAAGTTGGCGGAGTTTAATTTTTCTCTCTTTTTGTGTTTTTTTTTTTCTTTTTTAAAGAAAAAGCAAGGTGGGGAGATTGGAATTTCTCTAAATACAAAATACTATGAGCCAATTTCAGAATCATTGGCAGATAAAGCTGCAGCAGAGAGACTTATGGACTTCCAGTTGGGATGGTTAGTCCTTGACCAAATTCAGAAACTTCAGATTTTTTAGAACTAATGGTGACTTTTCTATACTTGTTCCAAAAAAAATAGGAGTTTTGAATTTTAAATATGAATAACTAGGTTTGTGGAACCATTTGTCTATGGAGATTATCCGAAAAGTATGAGAGATATGGTGAAAGAGAGGCTACCTATTTTCTCGAAAAAACAGAAAATGATGCTCAAAGGAAGTTGTGATTTTTTTGGATTAAATTATTATACTTCAGCTTATGCTCAAAATATGCTATCTTCTCATTCTCAAGTGTTGTACCATGGTGTAGATTCTTTAGCAAAGGAAGTAGGTAAGGTCCACATAATACTTCAATGTTACGACAACTTTGAATATATCATGTAATAAATTATTATTCTGATAGTTTCTTGCCACTAATGTTCTAACTATTGCAGGGAAAGATGGAAGGCATCTTGATCCCTTGGTTAGAAAATCCTAAACCCCACTTAGTACTATGATTATTAGAATTTTCTCAAAATAATTAAGGGAAGATTTTATCATTTTTGTAGTAAAAGTATAGAAATCCTAATGATTGTTTGAATTGCAGGACATGCCAATCTATCCAGAACAGCTACAGAAACTTCTGGAGTTTGTGAAGCAAAATTATCAAAGTCCAAAAATCTACATCACTGAAAATGGTTGTGGCAAATTTACTTATGCTTCAATTATACGCACCTGCACACCCACACACACACATATAATTCGTACATATGATATATATATATATGGCCTATTTGATTCACGTGTTCAAGTAAGTGATTTTGATTCTTTATTCAAATTTTGTGTGAGAACTCATTAGCGAGAACTTTTTGTATTCAAATTTTTGTTGTGAGAGAGTGGAATCAGAATCATGGGTTCAAAACCTAAAACCTAAAACCAAACGGAGCCATAGTTACTGAGGGATATATATAATCTACACCATAAATGTTGCTATTTTTCTTTGTAGGAGCTAGTGAGGCAAGAGATGATAAACGTGGACTTGGTGAAGCACTAAAAGATCCACATAGAATAAGCTTTGTTCTTCGACACTTGCATTTTGTCCACAAAGCCATTAAGTAAGTCATGATCAACCTAGTTTAGCAGCATTATCAAAATAATTACTTCCCAAGTTGTTACAATTTTGTATTTGACATATTTCGATCCCATTTCCAACACATTGTTGCAGGAATGGCGTGAACATCAAAGGGTACTTCTATTGGGCCGCATTCGACGACTTCGAATGGGGTTTGGGCTTCAGATTGAGATTTGGATTCTACTACATTGATTTCAATGACAAGCTCAAGCGCATTCCTAAACTTTCTGCCAAGTGGTTCAAAAGTTTCCTCAAAGCTTACAATACCACCTCATAATAATAATACTAAATAATATGTGAGCCTTGTACAAAATGGTGCTTTTACATGATAGAAAATACATAGCAAAGACAATCCTGAGCGCATCCCAAGAGGGTTTTTTCATGAACAAACTGCTGATATATATAGGCTGTGTTTGGCTATGCAGAAATTTATGTATTCAAATATTTTCACTTTAGTAATGTGGGTGTTTACTTGAATATTTGCTCCATAGCTTTCTTTCACACAATACTACTTCTAGCATTTGACTGACATTGAGTCGCAAGGTGGTGGAGTTCATCACAGTTAACACTTTCAAATTCACTGGATCACATTGTTGCTTGACCACATCCGTCCAGCCCGGTAAACGCCGAGTGGACCGAACCATATAATAGTGGTGAGGTCGATAATGAAATGAGGACCGCGTTTTAATCAGTGATTTTTTTTCCTCTTGAGCGCCGGCTCATTTGAATTTATTGATGGATACGGTTGTTTTTTTTTCCAAACACGGCCTTTATGAGTCTAATTATAGGTTTCATCTAAAATTTAACATAAACCATTCATGCATGAGACATTTGATTAAGAGACTGATTCTAAGGAATCAAAAGAATTCATGGAATTTATTCTCATTATTTTTAACGAAGTAAATCAAATTAGTAAGGAAAATGCTTCTTAATTAGCCTGACAACTCAAAAAATACAACATAAACGTTTGTTACTTTGCTTTTTTTCTTTTTCTTTTTGTTGCTTAATGACATTTCAACAGTTTGGACTTTGAGATAAATGTGGATATTAATTATTGGTGTCAGTTTTAACTTCAAAAATAAAAAATGCTGGCATCATTTTTACCCTACAAGAAAAAAAAAAAATCTTGTCGTCAGTTTTATTTTGTTTTTTCACATCTATAAAGTAACACCATGAAAAAGATCTCTGCCGTTTATTCCCCTTTTCGTTGATAAAAATAAGAAAATATGTTATCAAACTAATTCCTAAATACAGTGCAACAGCAAATAGCTGGAAAATGACACAGACAGATACTCAAACCCAACCAAGTAGCAGATCATATTAATTTATCTATTTTAATTTGATTTTTCTCATTGTAGGCGGCCAATATTCCAGGAAATTGGATGGTTGCAGAATTTCTGGATTCCTCAAAAAAGAAATTGTGGTTGGTGAATTCGTGTAATGATTCGAATCATGGTTCGTGGTTCGCTACAATATTTTCTCTCATAAAAAATACACATAAATCGAAAATAATTCTGAATCATGATTCTAAATTTATAAACCAAACGTCCACAAAATGTTTGAAATGACATATCAAATATCACATAAAAGATAAATAGTCGATTGTTAAAAAAATAAAAAGAGAATAAATCTTAAAAAATAATATTGATAAAACATCTATAATACTAGTTCTTTTTTCATGAATTTTACGAAATTAAACTAAAGATGTAAGTACTAGAATTAGGTTTTTTTTTTTTTTTAAACGAAAGCAAACTAGATATGTTCAGTTTTTTGAGGTGTGAAGATATAACTAGTTAAGTGTAAAGCTAATTAGTTAAATGATACTAATAATAAGGAGCCTTAACTTAAGGGACGCCTTAGACAGTTTGCCTTAATGGCCTTACTCTTTGAGCCGTCATTTGCTGTAATGATAATATTCTTGTTACTTTGTTTATAACCAGCCTCTATATATATATATATATATATGTATTAGAAACAAATTACCATGAACGTTAATTATCATCTGTACAGAAGAAAATTACCACAAACATTAATTATACATGGCATCTCCAGTTTTTCTGCGCAGCGTTCTTGGGATTTGTGTCATTGCTCTTCTCATTTACTGCTTCTTAACAGAAGGTTAATTTCCATGATCATCTTTTAATATATTTACGTAATTACACCATGCATGCATATTGTTTCATTATCAATAGCTTTTTTTTTTTTTTTTTGCTAATATATATATATATATATATTTTGACAGGTCTTGAAGGTGGAGATTTGAATATTAAGAGATGCGATTTCCCAAGTGATTTTGTATTTGGAACCGCAACTTCTGCCCAGCAAGTATGTGTGATTATACATACATATATATATATATATATATGTATATATATGTACGTGTGTGTGTGTGTTTGTTTCGAACAAAATTCTCTAATCTCATTCGCATCTAATCAATGTATTCATATACCATTTTATATCCTACATTTGTAATATGACAAAATTGTATGTAGCAAACTGTATAATTTATAATTGTAGATAATGTGGTATGAATCGAATAGTTAAAAACAAATTATAAGGACAGAAAAATTCAACAAAAATTTGAATTATCTATTTATATATCTACTTGTATTAAGTTTATAAACTTAAAGTAAATATCACAAATTGCAGATAGAAGGAGCAGGGAAAGAAGGTGGAAGGGGACCAAGTATTTGGGACACCTTTGCTGCAGTCCCGGGTTTGTACACAACCCCTTAATGATCTCTAATATATTGCATTAACTAGATTTAAAATTAATTCTAATCAACTTTTATTTCCCTTGAACATTTTCAGGTCACGTTAAGGATGGAAGCAACAGTTTAGTAGCAATTGATTCATATCACCGATTTAAGGTCCTAAAACAAAGCACAAGAATAATTTTATAGCGGCACCAGCGATGTTGGGCACCACCTACTAATAGAATGTAGGTTCCGCAATATGGGATCCATAGGTGGAAACTCACCTTCTGTTAACGGTCGTGCTAATTAACATCGATAGTGTCCCTAAGCATTTTTTAGACACAAAAGTTACTTATTGTATTCCTTTCGAGAAAAGTAAAAAATTTACCCTTAAGAGTGCAAGGGTCTGGATTTTTACCCCTTATTATTGATTAATACCCGTTTACTAGTATAGTTATCAGACTGAAAAGGTTATTAATCAAGAATAAAATGTAGAAATTCTGACCTATGCACTTTTAAGGGGTATTTGTCTCCTTTTAGTTGCCGTTTCCACGGTATGACTTAAAAGTATATCTTTGATCTTATAGGAAGATATAAAGCTCATGAAGGACCTTGGAGTTGATAGTTACAGGTTTTCCATTTCCTGGCCAAGGATTTTACCTAGTAAGTTTTACAAACTAGTTTTACTGATATTTTGCACCAATATTCCAATATGAAAGGGAAAAGGAATTTGTGATATGGGCATTTTATTTTGTACTGAATTTGGAAAATTGAACAATTGAACTTATGTTCAGATGGCACGATAAGCGGAGGAATAAATCAAGAGGGTATTGATTTCTACAACAATGTGATCGATGAATTAGTGGCAAATGGTAAGATTAAGCCGAATTTTTCGCAATAATATTTAGTCATGTTTCAAAAAAAAAAAAATCATTAAGTAAACTCTTATAATTAACAATTTGGAGCTCTATCTAGGTATCAAACCATTTGTGACCATGTTACATTTTGACACACCACAAGCGCTTGAAGACAAGTATGGAAGCTTCTTGAATCGCTCAATTGTGTGAGTCTCAATGTTATTTGTTCCATTTCTTATGCATGATCTTATTCCTTTATGAATAATTATCGATGGCTAATTAAAATTGCAGGGATGATTTCAAGGACTACAGTGAACTTTTGTTCAAAACTTATGGAGACAGAGTTAAATACTGGATTACAGTCAATGAACCATTTGTTGTGGCACTTGGATATGATTTAGGGAAAGGCGCGCCGGGGAGATGTTCGTTGCCACCGCCTTTTGGTCCATGTGCAGCCGGGAACTCGTCCACCGAACCTTACATTGTTGGCCATCACTTTCTCCTTGCCCATGCTACGGCTGCTAGGCTCTACAAAGATAATTTTCAAGTAAGATTTAGAAGTTTCTTTTAAGCAGATCAATATGGATTTGGTAAAATCACACTCGTGTTAGATATATTCAAGAGATAAAATGTTGTTCATTTTGAAGGCTCAACAAGGTGGACAAATTGGACTTGCAGTTGTTGGAGAGTTTATGGAGCCTTATAGTGACTCACCAGATGATATAGCAGCCGCAGAAAGATATTTAGATTTCCTCTTTGGATGGTCAGTGTCTAATCTTACACATCTTCATTCTTGTCTAACATTTCAACATTTGTCACTTTTCGGTTAGGGAGATGCGACTTTCGATTACGATCAGTTTGTATATTAAAAATGACAACTCATTTGTCACCGGTTATCGTTAATACTTCAGTGCCTCGAAAGATCTTTTGCGAACGAGAAATCTGATTATAATCTATTTTCGTGCTAAACTAGGCATCTGGAGCCATTGGTGTTTGGAGATTATCCAAGAACCATGAGAGAGTATGTGAAGGAGAGACTGCCTACTTTGACTGAAGAAGAAAAGAATTTGGTAAAGGGTGCTTTTGATTTCATTGGAATCAACTATTACACATCAAGATTTGCTTTTAAGACGGATCCAGTCCAACCACCCCATTATCTTGGAGACTCCTTAGTGAAGATCACAAGTATGAACATACCAATATTATATACATACATACATACATACATACATACATACATATATATATATAAGCTAATTAAAAGTATCATTCTCTAATAATGGTTTTATGATTGTTTCAGCTACAAAAGATGGAGTCCCAATTGGTCCAAAGGTAAGTGATTCATAGTATGCATTTAGCAAATTTACCTTGAAAAAAGTTTGTACTTTTTTTAATACTTAACTTTCAGGTATGATTTGACTAAAAATTGTTGTTTTATGAATTACAGTCTGAGGGAAGTGGATATGTCTACAGTTATCCTCAAGGGCTACAGAAACTTTTGGAGTTCATGAAGTCAAAGTACAACAATCCCACTATTTACATTACTGAAAATGGTCAGAACTATCTTCTAAGCTTGAAAATTTAACAAAATATGTAACAACACCAACATTTCAATTAATTAATTTAATGAATTGATTAATATTCCTTTCCTTATTTTATTTTATTTTTGCAGGATTTCCCGAGGCGGATGTGGCGAATCGCAGCCTCGATGAAGCGCTTAATGATCAAGCTAAGATCAACTTCATTCGTGAGCATTTATACTACATCAGGCAGGCAATGAAGTAAGTTATTGGATCTTGTAGAGAAGAAAAACTAGGAGTTACTATTTGCTTATGCTTTAATGGTGGCAAAATTTTCTTTTGCAGTAATGGTGTGAAGGTGAAAGGTTACTTCTACTGGTCTCTATTCGACAATTTCGAATGGGGAAGCGGCTACACCGTCCGATTCGGGTTATATTTCATCGATTATAACGATAACTACAAGCGTATTCCCAAATTTTCTGCTAAATGGCTTCCTGCTTTCCTCAAAGGAGAGTCTCCTTCAATCAAGTGAAAAATAAAAAATAAAAAAAAATAAAAAACTTTTTTTTTTTCCATAGAGGATTAGAATACTGTTGTACTAGCAATGAGTATCATACTATGTTTTTTCTTTTAAACTGAATCATCTTGTACAGTTTTTTTGTTTAAAAAAAAAAAACGAAGAAAAAGAAATAAATTGCCAAGATAAATTGAGTAATTTTCATTTGGCATGAAATTTCGTTACGTGACATGTTACATGTGATGTAAATGACTTGAACTCTATCCTTATTTGTCAACAATAAGCTCAAAATGATATACAAAAGAAAATATGAAAGAAAAGTACTAATTGGTGTAAAGGGTTCTAAGTTGAAGTGCTTAGAAAAAGCTTATGTGGTGTTTACACATGCACTCAGGGACAGGATAGGCAATTACATCCCTGTCTATCCTAAAATTCCTAAGCTCAGGCTGGCCCTGGGACTTGCTGTGCAGCTCCCTCATGATGGTGCTGAACTCCGCGTCCGAAACGGAGGCATCCTCGAAGAAAGGCAGCATCGCTCGCTTGTTCGGCTTTATATACTTTCTGTGGCCAACATAGGCACGGTGACCCTGCAGACATCGGTCAGCAAATCCATCCCGCGTTTTTATCAGAATCTATCAGTTTGGAAACTAGGTTGGAAAAAACAAAGAATAGCATCACTTGTGCTTTTTAACTATTTATTTATTACCTGCAAGGCGCGTCCCATGTTTCCGCCATGCGAAGGCACAAAGACGTCGCTGCTGAGCGAGACAATGTAGTCGATAGCGGCCAAAGCAGAGGACTTGTTGGCGAAGGGAGAGAGTTCACCATCCCGCGCAAGCATCTCCTTTGTCACTAAATTTGGGAACTCTGCAATGAGTGGTTGCAGGGCCTTGCTGCCACCAAATGGCTCTCCACCGGCGTTGTATATCCGTGTAGTTCGTGGTGCGCCTAGAGCCTTCAAGAGCCTACAGATTGGCACCAAAAAGACTCTTCTCTAAACCAAAAGTATACTAAATATAACCAATAACAATCATTTATCAACTGTCACCAACGATAAAATCAAACCTTAGAATTGTTTTTTTGTTTTTGTTTTTTATTTGTAATTAGAAAACCAATTTTTAAGGAAACATAATTTTCTTTTTGCTTGGGGACACTAGATCTTAGACAAAACACTTGTGACATGGTAACAAATAGAATTACTCATTCTTAAGTTACATCTGTTATGGCACTGGTTACTCACCTTGCCATTTCTAATGCATTAAGGGGGCATAATCCGGCAAGCCGCCGCTGAGCGTAGCTCATGTTTAAGGTTCCAGTAAGGAACTCGGGCTGAGATTCCCGAACCTTGGTTATGACGTCGTCGTACTCGGGGCCTAGACCGGTGAGGCAACCGGTTCTGACCCACACATCCTTCTCTAGCCGGAGATGGAGGGCAATGTAGGGACCTTCAATCCACATTCTCTTTGCCAGTTGATTCCCGAGCTCGTGAATTGGGGCTGCAAATCTTAGTGCATGAAAAGCTACCTGAAAAAATGTGAACAAGAATACAAAGAAAAGATAAACACACATGAACATAAAGTTATACATATTATGATACTATTCTAAGTGGTGTCATTGATTTTTTTTTATTTTTTTTTTTATACCTTACCTTACATTTAAGCTTCTGTAAATCAGAAGGAAGATTCTTTGTGAGCTTAGAATCTAACCCTTTTAGTACAAGAAGTCCATCTCTACTGAGCTGCGTAACATGAACAAGGAAAGATGTGACATTTTTTAATTACAATATGGAGATTTTGCATATTAAGCACATAATTAGTGAAGATTCTCTAGTAATTACTTGATTGAAGAATCTGGCATGAATCCATTGTGGAGTAATGTCCTTAGGAATCTTGGAACGGATAGATTGTCTTCCGAACAAATGCGTCGAAGGAATCGTCGACACAACTCGAATATCAGCTTGTAAGGTCCTCTTGAAATGTTCAGCATCAAAAATGTCCGAAAATTCACTGCCAAAATTCAAAAGAAAATGAGTGTCTTTCACTTTTTCTTTTGTTGAAACAGAGTATACACATAAATTGTATTGAAAACAGAGTATTCTATGATCCTAAAAAACAAGAAAACCTTGGAAATTAAAGGGAAAAAAAATTGAAACAGAGTATACACATAAATTGTATTGAAAACAGAGTATTCTATGATTCTAAAAAACAAGAAAACCTTGGAAATTAAAGGGAAAAAAAATAAAAAAAAACTCTTCTATACCACTTACTTTCATTCAAAATCATCCTTCAAATTATATGAAAATGTGTGCATTTATTGTGTTGAAAAAGAGTATACACGTAATTAGTATTGAAAACAGAGTATTTATGACTCTAAATAACAAGAATATCTACGAAATTAAAGGAAAAATATAATAAAATAACTACTCTGTGCCGGATAATTTAATTCAAAATTACCCTTCAAATTATTTAAAAATGTGGACACTTCTTGCGTTGAAAAAGATTATGTACATGTATAATTAAGATGTTACTGTGTTTTACACAGTTCTTAACAATCAACATTTTCTTGCCAAACGACAAGAAATTGAAATCTCCATAGGAAAAAGAAAATGTGATAAAATCCAACAATTCAATTACATGGGAAAAAGAAAAAAGAAGACATTTATATGGAAAAAAAGAGTATTTCATAGCTAAAATCATGTTAAATTAAGTTCTTACACAAATTTTCAACCAAAAAGTATTAAAGAAACAACTAATACCTCTCATCTCCCCAAATGAGATTGACTTGTAAAATGGGGACAACCAAAGCAGCCTCAAGAATCCGGGCAATGACAACAGCATCAGCAATCTGGTTCCTCTGCTGGTTAAGTCCCCCGGCCGCCACAACCACCAGGAATCTCCTCCTCTCCTTGGAAATCCTCGCCGACGCTCTCCGGTACCCGATCCCGAACTCCAAGCACGGCCGGTACCCGTCCCCATCAGGCTGCCTCCAGAACTCCCTCTCCACCTCCGAAATATTCGCCCCCGTGTCGCCGTGCGCCGGAAGCGGCACCATCGCGCTGCGCGACAGCCTCGGCGCCTCCACGTCGTCGAGCGGCGAGGACGGAGGGAAGACGGAGCAAGGTGGGTGGTAGTGGTGAGAGTGGAGGAAAGTGAGAAGGGCGATTCCTAGAAGGAAAGTGAGGGAAAAGAGGAGGGAAATGGAGAAGAAGACGAGGAAGCTTGGCGGGTTTCTCGGGGTTTTCATGGGGGAGAAGAGGAATGAAGCAATGGGGAAAACCGGAAGGAAATGGAGGAATGGCGGTGATTGGTTTAACGTGATGAGGCAGTTCTTCATGTTTGAGTTTCTTGTTCTCGCCATGAGAAAACTACAATGGAGTTTTTTCTTCTTCTTGGTATTTTCTTGGATAAAGCGAGGAAAAAATAAAGAAGACGAAGAGGAAGAGAATTTGGAAAGAAAGCAAAAGCAAAGAAAGGAAAAGAAAGAAAAGCTTGATGAGGAATTACAATCCTCAGAAAAAGCTTAATAACACGCAGAGAGATTGGAATTTCAAAGGTTTTGGCGTACTTGAATGAGATGAATCTTGGTTTTGAGTACCAAATGACAGTTTTAACCTTGAGTTCTTTTGTTTTGACATATTGTAAAGGGAATTTGGATAGGAGTGTTTTGGTCATTTAGTGAATGAAATCCATGAAAAGCCAACGGTTTGTTAGTTTGAGTTTGTGGAAATTTCCCGGGAAATAAAGTAGGAAGCGGCTTGTTGCTAGCTTCACATGAATGGGCATTTTTACTATTATGTGCCGAAATTGCCCTTAAATTTAATTCCATCTATTTTTATTATCCGAGAAATATAATTTATGAAAAATTATTTAGAAAATGTTTAGAACTTCAATAAAAGAACTAAACTAACCTCAAGTGTCAATTATTATAATTTGATGGCCAACAAAACTATAATATTATGATGCATTCTACTTTTATGAGAAATATGATTGTATTATTCTTGATCTTGATTTGGGCTTTGGATATAGTTCAAAGTGGATCTTAAGTAAAATCTGAAATATACTTTTAATTAAATATTCAGCCCCTAATCATCCAACCAACCTCTTTGATTCATGATGTTACCTTTTTTTTTTTTTTCGATGCCCTTGTGGTCGATTTATCTGTGGATGTTGTGTCCTCTGTTTTGGTATGTTCTATCTAAGAAAAACCTCTCAATTTTTACTATATGAGCACTTCTTTTCAGCTCCATGTTAAGTAGTTGGTTGTTTAAATTGGCACAATCGCGCTTTGATCATGCCCATGTTCGGTCAATCCAATTAATCCGTTCATTTCACCGATTCGAGTTTAGAATTCGAGTTTAACTACAATAAAAAGCTCTCAGAAACAGTCGCATCTAACTTTTTTGCTACAGTAAAAAACTCTCATATAAAGTCACATCTCAATTCGAATTAAAATATCGAATCAACGAACTAAACGGACCCTAAATTTCTTAGCGTCAAAAGCCAGCCTATAATCTATTTATTTGTGAGTCGTGTCTTGAGTGTGCTCATGTTTTTATCCTATTTAGTAGCAAATTTACAATTAAAATAAGAAAAATAAGCACTACTCATGATAAAAACATTAAATCTTAATAAACTAAAATATATGATTAAAACATCCCATTAAAAAATTTACAAAGCAAAACCTAAAAAAGAGTGTTGTAACAACCTTAATAAAGAAAAAAATGTATATATAATATATATATAATAATAATAAAGTAAAAGAGTAAATTCAATACAATAAAAAGTAAATTAACTTATAATGTAGCTCGTTCTGCTTTTAACTTATCCATTATCATGCACGTGCTCGTATTTGGCCCTTCACATGTTGTATCCTTAACGTGTTTGTATTTAAAGAACGTATCAAGCTCGATTCATAAATATGTTCGGTTGGGCCCATTTCATACTTGTATCTAACGGTGTTGTGTCCTTTTTTTTTTTTAACATTAGGCTCGACCCATTTTCACGTTTTGGTGTTGAGCTGGCTTGGCATGAGACAAAAGGGTCCCACAAAGCAATTTTATAATTGAACAATGCTTTCATCGGCCGGTAGCCGACAATTTTTGTCAGTTCAGTCACCGACATTGTCGGTTATTGGAAAAATAAAAACTGAAACCGACCGAGAGAAACATAGGCCCGTTCACTTCGCTGATTCAAGTTTAGAATTTGAGTTTTTCTACAGTAAAAAGCTCTCACAAACAATCACATCTAACTTTTTTACTACAGTAAAAAGCTCTCACATAAAGTCACATCTCAACTCGAATCAGCGAAGTAAACGGGGCCATAAAAACCGATGGTTCAGTGGTCAAAAATCATTGGTTCGGTCACCAACGCAGCTTGGACGACGTTTATGGAGGGAGGACTAAGGAGAATGGCCGGCCACGGCGATTCGGTGAAGAAGAAGAGGAGAGGAGAGACGTTAGCGGCCCTGTGCCAACTCTGCAGTGGAAGGACGACCACAAGGAGGAGGAGGGACAACGAAGGGGGCTGTGGACGGCGGAGAGGAGCAGAGGAGCAGGGGCGAGGGCTGGAAGACGATGAGCAGTTGGGCGGTGGAGGGGTTTTTTTTTTTTTTTTCCTTCTGTTCTTTTTAATTTCGAATGGGAAGAGGCGGAATGGGAAAATGGAGGATAGGAAAGAAGCCCTAGTGGGCTAGGTTGGGCCTAGTCTTGAGTTGAGTGGGAAATATTTTTTTAATTTTTTTTTAAGTAAACCTGTGAGTCGGTTCGGGTAACCGGCTCCAAACACCTGAAACCACCAACCGAACTGAGCAATTATTCTTGGTTAGGTTAATAGACCGCTAGCCGTCCGTGCAGACGTGGCACCTGCTTCTTCGGTCGGTTGTTGTCGGTGTCGCTCGGTTATCGAGTTTTTTTACAACTCTACATTAGGGTATTAATAGATGCTGAGCATTAATAATATGTGAGTCTTGTAACATGAGACTCATAGATGAGACTCACTTTTTATTAGTATTTTTTTTAACACCGGTGGTGTTTAGTAGCATTTTTCTTTATGCGGATGTCTAGGATGAAGAAGTTTTTTTTTTAAAAAAAATGTTTTAAAACACATTTAGAACAAACGTGTAATAATAATAAAAAAAAAAGTAATGTACTTAAAAATACTCCCAAGGACATTTACAAGAGGGAACAAAGGGAAAAGAAAAAAGAAGAAAGAAAAAAACACATCTTGGATCACAACGAAGAGTTACACTGCATGAATGAAAAAGACAGATAATGGGTGGCCATGAAGATTAGAATATATTTTTATCATGAGAACCAAACGTCACCCTTTAATAGTATATGAGCATTATCCGATGATTCCAAAACGAGACTTATAAAAGTCTAATAAAGGTTATAAACAGAATATATTTACATGTTCCAACCAATGAAGTTGTTAGCTAGCTCTATCCCAATCGGAATCATTGTGGAAACTTGAAACTTAACCATTGCCCTTTTGAAAAATAGTCAGATGCTTAAGAGATTTTAAGATGGTAATCTCCAATAATCTATCAAAATTAAGACAGAAGACTTACAAAGAATCCACTTGATTTCTTGGGAATGTGATACTTGTTAAGCACCAATAGATTTTGGGAAGGTCACAGCCAATTACATACTTTTTTTATGAGAAGCAATCAGTTTCGTTTAGTTCGCTAATTCGAGTTGAGATGTGATTTTATGTGAGAGCTTTTTACTGTATCAAAAAAGTTAGATGTGATTGTTTCTGAGAGCTTTTTACTATAGTAACACTCGAATTCTAAACTCAAATCGGTTAAATGAACGGTGTTATAAAGTTAATCCCTTGATCGGTTTATAAACAACAATAACATTTTTATTTAGTTCATTAACTACAAAGTTTAATATGCCCTAAACTTGTTAAGAAGAATTTGTAGAGATACCTCACAAAATTAATTTTGTAAGACTAACTTAAAAATTACGATAATTTTATAGTAGAGAAGGATGGTTTAAAATTGTATCATACTAATAGGGTTCTTCCTTTCTTTCCTTTTTTTTTTTAACTTTAGATTAATTTTTAGAAAGTTGAATTTCTAACATACTATTTGTAAAATAATAGGGTTAATTTTCATACCAAAATGAGACAAGTAAATAACAAAAATTATAAACTTTAAGCTCTTATTTGCTTTATGGTTCGAGTTCGAATAATAATTGTCAATTTAAATTGAAAATATAATTCAAATTTCTCTTTTCCAACTTTAGACCACACCCATTTTTCTCTCTCAAACACCAATTAGATTCTTGATTCAAATTGAGAATGAGCTTGGTTGGTAAACTAGTGTAAGTGGTTTTAACTAACTCTTTGGTTCAAACCTGGAAAAAAAAAATTTTAAACCTTTGTTCAAAAAATTGATTTGATGTTCCCAACAGAAAAATCCTTATAAATCTAAGTTTATACCCCATTCATTTTCAAGTGGTTTGAAATAAAACTTGAACCATTTTTCTCATAATTTCCATTTCAAACCAAAAAAAAAGTTGAAACCTTCAACACATTTGGAACCTATTTACCAAACGGGCCCAAATTATTGTGATTCAAACCTTGAAATAAACAAGTTCTAAAAATGGTATACAACTTAATCAACACTAAATTTTTTTATAAATTATGAAAAATGCCCCAACAAAATCCCGTCGGATTTATACTACAGATATTGAAATTTTGTATTTGTGCCACACAAATAGTGCAATTAAACATAACACAACGTGAATCTGAACCACTCAAAATTGTGACATAAGCCCTAAAAACACACAAAAATTAGCATACTCACTAATTTTCTCAAATTTTTTTACAGAACTGTGAATTAGTATATTTTTAGAATACTTGAAGTAAATAACAGTAAAAGATTTTTTTACTTTGTAAATTTTTTATTGACTAAATTTACATGGTAAAACGATTTTTTTACCACTTATTTTTATTAACGACTGGATTTACGTGGTAGAAAGATTTTTTATCATGTAAATTTTTAATTTACTCCTTACTTCAAATAATTTAAAAATCTGTATTTACTTCAATATTATGTGAAAATTGTTGAACTTATTTTTAAAATACATGTGTCTAAATTTTTATCTCTTACTCTTGATTAGTTCTCTTTTGACTAATATAGTTATTTAACTAAAAATGATATGAATAAAAAATAAAAGAAAAAATCTAAATTCATACACTCTAAAGTGTATTTCATATTTGTCTCCTTTCCCTCTTCAATTATTTACTGAATAACTCCACTCTCCCAAATTTTTGTCTAGAGAAAATCTTGAGCTAGCCATAAAGTTACCATTTTGGGCATAAATTCGAAAGCACATATTCTTGTGTAATTTTAATAAATATTTTTTAAAAGTATATAGTCATTTAATTCATAATTTTTTTATTTAAATATTACACTAATAAAATTATATTTATTAAAAATAAAGAGTAAATATTCAAACTCATATATTTTTAAAGATAAATTCTCTAATTTTTCTCATATTATTTTATTTATTTCTTGATCTGTACTGCTCAAGTAAATCTCACGCGCAAAAAAAAAAAAAAAAAAAAAAAAAAAAGAAAAAAAAAAAAAAAAAAAAAAGTAAATCCCGTAAATAAATAAATGAAAACAAAATTCCCAGCAAAGACGTGAGAGAGAGTTGAGTCTTAGAAGAAGAAGGTGAGTGAGTCGAGAGAGAGTGTGAAGTGTGAAGGAGAAGACGAAGCTCGAAATCTCAGCCATGGCAAACGACCAAGCAAGCTCTGATGTGGTCTCCGATCTTATGGACTTCTTGAACTCCTCGCCTACTGCTTTCCACGCCGTCGGTAATTTTCCTTTCCTCACTTTAACTTGATCCTTCCGTTTGTTTCCCGAGAAAATCAACAAAACAAGTCTCATTTCATTTCCCTTCCCATAACCTGGTTGAAGTTTCATTATCTCTTATTGAATTTGTATTTCTCATTTCTATTTTATGTCTCCAATTGAATGGATTGCTTCCTTGTTTATTTCCTTTGGATTTCAAATTATGTATGTTTTTGTTTGTTTTCTCTTTGGATTGGAAATTTCTTTTCTTTTCTTTGTACTTTTTTTTTTTTTACATAATTCTGTGAATTTGGTTTTTCAGATGTGGCGAAGAAGCTTTTGCGAAGCGCAGGCTACGAGCAGGTCTCGGAGAGAGAGGATTGGAAACTGGAAGCAGGGAAAAAATATTTCTTCACGAGGAATCACTCCACTATTGTAGCTTTCGCCATTGGTAAAAGGTATAAATTCCTTTCATTTATTTTCCCGTTATTTTATAGATTTTTTTGTTTTTGGGTGTTGAACTGATAATAAAATTTTAAAAGAAAATGGAGGCAAAATCTTCAATTATATGGATGATCGGGTCCACTTGGCCAATTTTTTTTTTTTTTCAATTTAATAGTCTGAGTTGGCGCGAAGATGATGATTGTGTGCGTGAAGGTTTTGTCTTGATTAATTCTTTTCGGTTATCTTGGCACAAAAGAAAATCTGGGCAAGTCAGAAGGAATTTCATGAAACTAAGAATTTATTACTAAACTAAAACTCAAGTACTATGACAGTGTAATTGATCAGCATTGAAATTGATTATACAATTTACATGACCTTGTTTGCTAATGGTTTGGAGCTCATGTCTAGATATGTTGCGGGCAATGGATTCTACATAGTTGGTGCTCATACTGATAGTCCTTGTCTCAAACTTAAGCCTGTTACCAAGGTAATCCATTGTTCTAAATATTATGGATATTGATTTGATGGGAAAAGATTTGACTCTTTTCCTTGTTTTGGGATACGGTGCTTTGTGAAGGTAACTAAAGGTGGCTATTTGGAAGTTGGGGTCCAAACATATGGAGGTGGCTTGTGGCACACATGGTTTGATCGAGACTTGACGCTTGCGGGAAGGGTAATAATAATGGAAGAAAAAGATGGTATTGTTTCATATTTGCATAAACTTGTGAGAATCGAGGAGCCTATAATGCGGATCCCAACCCTGGCTATTCACTTGGACAGGTTGTCTTGTTATTCCATATACATCATTAGATATTTGGCTGTCAAGTCTTTGATAATTAATAAGGTTGAAACTGTTGTTGGTAGTCAGTAGTTTTTATTTAAGTAATACGATTCTCTTCTCTTACCCTTCAGAGAATTCTCTCTCTGAAAAGTTTGTTCATTTTTTTTAATACCTTGTACAGGGGGGTTAATGATGGTTTTAAGGTGAACACACAGACTCATCTTCTTCCTGTCTTGGCAACATCGATTAAGGTAAACTTGGAATTACACACGTTTATACATGTTGGCCAACTTTGAGTCGGTAGTTTTCATTTGTAGTTTCTCCTGGACAAAGAATATCAATACCCATATCCCGTTGATGATTATATTCTGACAGAAAAATAAATCAGAAACCATGATCTTAGCAGGGAAAGTCAATCCCAGAAGATGCTTAACTAACTTACGGTACCATATTTTCTAGGATCACAACTCATATATTCGAAAATTTGGGAATGGTTTGGATCTTTGGAGAAAATAATTTGATTGCACTGTGCAATTTTTTATTTTTATTTATTTATTGCGTTCTGTTCAACTGTAAATTCATATATTTCGCCTTTTTTTTTTGCCCTTGATTTAGTAGAACAGAGACTTCCTTTTAATTTAGTTGTCTTATTTTCAATTCAAAAAATGGCTTTTTGCAGGCGGAGCTCAACAAAGTTGTTGCAGAAAATGGTCAGGTTGAAAATGAAGCTCAGACCTATGGAAAGAAATCTAATGAAAAAACAACCTCTGACAATTCAAAGCACCACTCACTTTTATTGCAGGTTAACATCCTATGAATTGAGGAAGGGGCAGTTTACTCTTTTGGTTAGGTTTCTAATAATATGAATGGATTAGCAGGGATGAATGATAGATATGATTGAATTTTCTTGTTTATTGTGACAATAAATTGATGTTGTTGTTCTTTTTTTTCTTCTTCTAGCTTCTTGCAAGTCAGCTTGGATGTAAGCCAGATGATATTTGTGATTTGGAACTGCAAGCTTGTGATACTCAACCAAGTACAATAGCCGGTGCCCAAAAGGAATTCATATTTTCAGGACGGCTTGACAATCTGTGCATGTCATTTTGTTCTCTTAAGGTACAAGTTTGTAACTTTTATTGTATATCTACCTGCTTCGACATGCCTATAAAAATTCAGAGTTTGTGCTTCTTTACATCCTACAGTTCCTTGGCTAAGCAATGTGCCTTTTTTCTTTGTCAAAGTCAAAAAAAAAATAAATAAATAAAAATCTAGGCATGCAGGTCTAAGTTTTTACTTGGTGGATTCTAAATTTCAGATGCCTGTTTATTCAAGATACGAGTTGTATATAAATGAAGCATTAATGATGTATTGATTTATGAATTGATTTTTCACATCATAAATTTCATTTATTGGCCCAAAACCAAGATGTCCAGAGCTTGAATATAACTTAGACATAATTCACAGAGCACGTGTTTCTTGTATTTCTGTCTCAGATTTTTGTTATTTGATCTTTTCTCAGTCATTCTTTATATTGTATTTTCTTTCATGTCGTATTTTCAGGGATTAATAGATGCTACATCTTCTGAGAGCAGCCTTGAAGATGAGGCCGGTGTTAGAATGGTGGCTTTGTTTGATCACGAGGAGGTTGGATCTGACTCGGCCCAAGGTGCAGGGTCTCCTGCCATGTTAACTGCTCTATCACGAATTACAAATTCGTATACCTCAGATCCTAAGGTAGGAAACAGTTTATCTTCATTTTCTTAATATCCCATATTCAGCTCTTACCTGCACTTATATTTTTCCCCTGACCAAGGGAAACTAACTGAATAATGTTAAATTGATGGTTCACATATGTAATAAATTTGCAATTTCTTCTTCTTCTGCTAAGTAATGCATCGAGTTTTGCTGTCCATAAAGGCCACCAGTTGGGATTGTTGGATCAGAAGTCTGGCATAGCCATAATATCCTTGATATTTTCATCTTTATTGTTCTAAAATTGCAATTTTCTCTATCCAGATACTTGAGAAAGCTATACAGAAGAGTTTTCTTGTATCTGCTGACATGGCACACGCCCTGCACCCTAATTATATGGTATGTTTAATCTTTTTTTTTTTTTTTGTTTTTTGAAAAAAAAAATTGCTGCAAGCAGATAATTTTGTGCCACGTTGATATAAGCTTTCTTTGTAGGACAAACATGAAGAAAATCATCAGCCCAAGTTGCATGGAGGACTTGTTATAAAATCCAATGCAAATCAACGCTATGCGACCAATTCTGTCACTTCCTTTTTATTCAGGGAGATAGCGTCAAAGCATAAAATTCCCACCCAGGTCAGCCTTTTGCCTTTGTTTGATAACAGGGTTGCGAAAATCGTATGTCACATGTTTCTTATATTGTAAAACATCACCCTGTAAACGCACTCTTCTGTATGGCTTTTGGAATGTAAGGATTTTTGGCACATATCACTCATTTTCTGGCATGAGAATTGATTATTGAAATAGTTTTAACTCAATCAAAGCCTACTTGAAATGCAGGATTTCGTTGTTCGCAATGACATGCCTTGTGGTTCTACCATCGGTCCCATCCTTGCGAGTGGTGTGGGAATTCGAACGGTTGATGTTGGTGCACCACAGCTTTCAATGCATAGCATCCGAGAAATGTGCGCTGTTGATGACGTGAGGCACGCATATCAGCATTTCAAAGCCTATTTCCAAGAATTCTCCCATCTTGATTCCAAGATTATAGTGGATTAGTAGGTCTATTGCATCTCATTCGGCTGTTCCAGAAGTATCTTCTGGTTGCCCTTGTTAGGACCTCACTCATGAAACCGGTTCAAAACATAATTAGGGTAATAAGGACCGGAAAAAAAGTGGTGATGCTATGAAACGTACACCAATGTTGGGCTTGTGCGAAGTTTATGAATTGGCTTTGAGCTTATTTCATGCTTTACTTTTGGAGCAACTTAATTGATTTACATTCAAAATGCAAAAATCATGCTAATTTGACACATTTAACAATTTATCGTGGGCGGGGCATGTGGACAACCTCTTTACCTGGTTCCACTCCTTTATTATTCTAAAGGAAAGAATAATTTGTGCCGCAACTACTTCAATGTTTTTTTTACCCTTTCCTTTTTTGTTTGAATGTTTAGTTATCTGTGTGAAACTTGAGGAAGAATATGCTTGTTTAGGTACCACATATAGTATTTGAGCATTAAAAAGAGGTGGGCTTAGTTGCGCTCTATCAGCCTATTTGATAAGTGAGGTTGTTTCTTTTTTCTTTTTTTTTTTTTTTCTTTTTTTTGAGTTATTTGACCCACACGTTTAAAATTGCAAAACATTCATAGAAATATTGAGGGGTTTTTTTAGTTCACGCGTTTAAATTAGTAATTCTGATTCATTAACGGTAATTTGTTGAGAAAAAAATTTTAAATTCAAATTCTTTATAAGATAAAAAACACTATAACAAATCAAAATCATCTAGGATGACGTTTGATTTATGTATTTAAAATCATGATTCATAATCATTCTCATTTTATGTGTATTTTTTATGAAAGAAAATATTGTAGAAAATTATAAATCATGATTCAGAATCATGAACGAATATATGAAACAAACGTTAATCTAAGTATAGGAATTAAATGGAGTCTAAAATTGTAATTCCCAATGAGTACAAGCGTTAATTTTGTGTCATTGGGGACAAAGTAAACACAACCTCTATTCTTGGGGGGCTAAAATTGTAATTCACCCCTTAAAAAAATTTATTGTCAACTTTTCTTCCACCTGTTAATAAAAACAAAAAAAGAAATGAAATGCATGCCTTATCATCTGTAAGGTAGATGCTGTCGTTTATTAGTGACGTTTTCTACATAAACTTCCAATTAGAACCTTGTGGAAAGTGAAAGCCCGTGAAAGGCCAAACTTTGCCACCAACAAACCAAACAAACAAACAAACAATCAGTCATGGCTGCTTCGTCGTCCCTGACTCTCCCCAAGTTCCTCACTTCTCTACTCCCCTCATCATCATCGTCGTCCCCATCGCCGCCGCCACCTAGCTTCGTCTCTCTCCCCAAGAGCACCGCGTCCGTGCCGGCCACCACCTTGGGCCTTACATCTTGTATCGCCGCCGTTGCTTTCCCGTCGCTGGCGCACTCGAACACACTCTTCTTCAAGTCGGCTTACAACGTTCAGGTGATCGCCGAAGAGAACGAGCCCGAAGAGAGACTTCTGAATCGCTTCAGAAAGGAGGTCTTCAAGGCCGGCGTCTTGCGAGAGTGCCGGAGAAGGAGGTTCTTCGAGAACAGCCAGGACAAGCGCAAGAGGAAATCCAGAGAAGCTGCTCGGAGGAATCGCAAGAGGTTTCTAATTTCTCTTTCTTTATCTGTTTGTTTCCCGAGAAACTGGTAGAAATGTAAAAGAAAAAAAAAATGCAACTTTGCTAGTGCTTCTCTTTTGATATTATTTAGGTTTCCTAAATTCCTATAGATTATTTAATGGAAAATGAAAGGTAGTTTTTTTTTTTTTTTTTTTTTTTTTTTTTTTTTTTTTTTTTACATAGTGAGGAATGTAGTTGATGTTAGTAACATTGATTTGAGGATTTGGGGAAGATTCGCAAGTCATTTGGAAACATTGGAAGACGTAGGTTGTAAGACTTGATTATGGTTCTTTGAAGGATTTGAAAGTGGCAAAAATTATGATCCCTGAAAAAATTATAGTATTCGTAGTGGTCAAAGTTGAGATTTTTATGCTTGTAGGTTTAAATCACAATTCAACTTGTTTGTTAGCGAAATGGATAGAACGAGATTTTACCGGCTTAACTGAACGGAGGATTTTTGAATCCACCTAAAAAGAACTCCACAATGGGGAAAACCTCCAAATTGGAGAGAAATCTCAAACTCTAATTCAATTATCAAAATTCAAAATATTCAAATTCTTCTTAATACAATAGCTAAGTAGCTATTTATAGCTCACTTATAAAACGATAACAAAATATTAACTAAGATAAACGATATAATAATAACAAAATAAGACTAATTTGATAAGCTAGAATAAACGATAATAAAATATAAAAACGACTACTATAACTCAAATCTTCCTACATTATTTTTTCTCACAAAAATTTGAATCCCTATTCAAATTTTCTATTCAAACCTAGTTTCGTTGCCTATGAAACCCTGCCTTTGACTATAAGAGATTGTAAAAAATCTACATACAGAGAACCATCCTAGGTTCAGCAAACAGCCCAAACAATGGTGTGGACTGTGGGTTAAATTGTTGCATATGTCAATGGGCTCGAAATCATAGAATGGATCAACTTTTTGTTAATCTTCATCTAATTTTTTATTGTTTTTAATCATTTTTGGTGCTCTTGCTTTTCTTGTTATCACAAAGATTTCTTCTTGTTGCTCTTGATTTTTTAAACAAGTGATAGCAATGGCCTTTATGTTGATCTTTGTTAGTTTTTTGAGAGTTCGACTTGAACTAGGATTCTATCTCTGTACCTGCCTTTTTCTTCCCTCACTTGTGATACATATATATATATATATATATATATATGAGCTTTTCAAATTTCAACTATGCATACTTGAATTTTGGTACTATACATTTATACTTCCATGTTTGCATGCTCATTTTCTGTGCTGACGAAATCTGATTCGTGGCTGTAATCCTGAAAACCTTTATTTGACCCCTTTTATTGTTTGCTCAATGTCAGGCCTCCACAACCAAAAGCTCCAACTAAGGCCAAACAGGAAACTATTAATACGAAGAACGATGAGAAAGATGATAACTGGGATCACTTTGATGTAGACCTTCCATATTGAGTTGGGAATAAGGTAACCGAAAATCGATCCATTTTAAACCCCGCAAAATGAGTGCTTAGAGCTCCTAATCTCCGAAGTCTGAACTGTATAGTGCTAGCTGGGTTCGTTTTGCAGATGCAACAGAAATAGTGTCTTTCACCTTTGGGTTGGGACTTATGGGAAATATGATTCTTCCCACATTCAATTCCCATTATAGAGTTGTTTGCTTTTGAATCAAAGCCCTTACAGACAAGCAACTATTGGTTTTTTTTTTTTTTTGTACTTGGAACGTAGCTATTTTATAGGGACCCATTCTTTTTCAACTGCTTCCTAGGGACTCTAGTATGTTTTCGGCTAAAAACTTACTGCACGAGCTAAAACAAATTTGATTATATGGTCTTCAACTACAGTTTTATTCTCTTGTATGGCATCATCTTATGGAAAGAAAAATTGATGTTCCTTTAAATTCCTTTTCCTTTTATGTATTCAAGTTTTCTGATTAGTGTGGATGAGCAAACGGAACAGTATGCCGATCAGTTTAGAGGAAATCAAATCCTATGAACTACTGCTAAGAGGTGACCAGCTTTTGGAAAGGCATATTGAATGAAAAGCATAATAGGGGCTGCACATCAGTTTATTGAAGGCTCAACGTTTCTTTAGAGCAATTCTTAAAATGCAACTTGAATGGAACATTATAGGAGTAGAGAGATCAGCATATTTTATAGGAAGCTTCTAGAATGTCCTATAGAATAGTACTCTCTATGAAGTAGTTTCTAGGGACATCATTGTGAAGGAATGGTGGATATTTTCGCGGCACATTTTAACTCTCCAGAAAATGCATAGCTCTTGGTTACTTTGGTAGAAAGCTCTAGAGCCGCCATTATTAGGATAAATGACACATTGGGAGGGGCTCTTTGCCAAATGGGTCCTCTTTTGGAAGGAACCATTAAAACCAAGAATCCAAGCACTTGTACATTCTCTCATGAGCAATATAAAGTTCTTTCCTCAAAAATATTTGCCGTTGTTCTCTTGCATCCAAGTGATGTTAGGTTGACTTAGCATTAGCTGCATTCACTCGCCTTGAAAAAGAGTGACTGTGACACTAAACCGTAAACGAGAAACACAGGGTGCGTTTGGAATTCATTCCAAAACGTTTTTATTTTTTGTATGAAAATGAAAATGAAAATGAAAACGTTTTCATTTTCATTTTGGAATCATTTTTAAAAATGCGTTTGGTAATTTTATTCTAAAATTGTTTTCAGTTTAAAAAAAATTGAAATTGTATTTGGTGGTTTAATTTTTAAAAACATGTAATAATATTTAAAATAATAATATATTAAATAAATAATATTATTAAATATATTAAATAATAATATATTAAATAAACATTGTAGTTTCTGGAATCTCCAGAAGATGTGTGCATTTCTCAAGCAAGGTAGCACAAGAAAACCGCGAAAGAAGAAAACACCATTAGAGAGGAATAAGTGAGAAGATGGCTGAGCGTTTGCTGTTCCACTTGTTTATCCTTGGCTCTCTCTCATTCTCTGCAATAATAATCTCTGAAGCTTCCCAGTGTTCCATCAATGGTAAGATTTTTCTTGTTTTACGCAAGATTTCTTGCTTTAATTTTTCATCTCTTTAATTTCTTCGTAATTTAAAGGGATACAGTTGTTTGGTTCTTCACCGATTGAGCTATCTACTTAGCTACCCAAAGCATTCATCTAATCAAAATACAAAGAAAATTTATGGGCGGAGATTAGAGGAGGCGGTCAAGATCGGAGGAAACTCGTCGGAAGAGAAGAAGAAGATCTCGCATCGGTGGAGGAGGAGGAAATCGTGCGGCGGAGGAGGAAATCATGGGCGGAGATGGGTTCTGAGGTTTTTGTCGTCGCCGTGGGTCAGCCGGAGGTTCTCGTTGCGGTTGGTGGTTCTCATCTTCGTCGGTGGGCTCTTGAGCTTTTCGTCCTCTTGGGTCAGAAGAGACCAGAGGAGCTCGGGCAGATTTTGGGAAAATGAAAACGGAGAAAACGATCTTAAATCGTTTTCAGATTTTCAGAAAAGGACAAAAACGTTTTTGTTTTCAATTTTTAGAAAATTTTACACAAAACGTGTTTTGTTTACGCGTTTTCAGTTTTTAATCTCGAAAACCGTGAAAAACGGAAATGAAAACAGAAACAAACAGGGCCATAATGGATGCGTTTGAAATTGGTTTCAGATTGTTTTTAGAAACGTTTTTGCACGTCTTCTGTCAGAAACTATACTAGGAATGATCACGGCTTTCTACAAACGTTTGTGGTGTGTGTGTGTGTGTGGAAGGGAGACAGTTGCTCCATTCGATCCTATATAATACTAGAGATGTTGGACGCAGACTTATTATGAGCATAGTTTTTTAAAAAAAAAATTTATTATTATTATTATTATTATTGTTGTTGACGGTATTTTTTCGACAACTCATAATTACCTCTCTGAGAATTCTCACAATAACACTCACGGGTTAATTAGAGATTAAAATAGTGAAATAATGTAAAGAAAACAAGGATTTATAGTGGTTCGGCAAGGTTTTTTGGCCTAGTCCACTTGTGGATGCACTAATCTTTCTGAGATTACAAGTTCCTTCTTCTACAATGGAATAGTGCGTAACCCTTCAATGGGTCTCTTTGGCTCTATTTATAGGCCTTTACATATAATGATCTCATATGCATTTTCCGAGGGAGCAATCTTCTATCCCGGGATTTAGGGGTGATGTAGGTGCATTTTCATGATGACAATCTCAGGAAATCAAGCCAACCTCTCTTACCGAATACATGATTTCTTGGCTGCGACAGTACCAGTTGGCACAGTGCATCCTTCCCTGAGTTGACAAGATTGTTGATGGATTTGACTGGACATGCTGCCTCGACGCAATGGCGACCACGAGTCGAGTCATGGTGCTCGACGCGCATCGCCCCGCATGGGCTCTCGACATCCAAAGGGCACTTTAGCGACAGTGGTTCCCTCGACGCCAGCGACCGATTCTCAACGGGGAGTTCTCAGTGCTTGTCGTTTGAGGGAATGGTCGATTGCTCGACCATGGTGTAACAATTGCCTTTGAACTTAAATCATACTTTGTCTTTTAAATTTTAAAAACTTTCACTTTATCTCTTTAATTTTGAATTGTTTTTCACTTAGCCTATTCTATTTAATTTTAAAAAAAATAAATAAAAAAAGAGAATAATGTAATCATGTGATATTTTTTATTTAAATTTTTATTAAAAATAAATAAATACGTATGGTCACATTTAATTCTCTTTTTTTAAATCTAATTTTAATAAAAATTCTTATAAAATGTTTTAAATATGATAAATGTACAATTTAAAAAATAAAATGAGAATTTTTAAAATTAATAGAGTAAAATATAAATGACCTTAAAATTTAAGAAATACCAATCAACTTAATGTAAAAAATAAATAAAAAAAGTGTGGTGTCTCACGTCGAAAAAGAACGCAAAAGGTGGAAGAGTGGGACTACAAATAAGGAACTTCACAAAGGTGGAAGAGTGGGACTACAAATAAGGAACTTCACAGTTCACACGCTTAAAAAAAAAAAAAAAAAAAAAAAAAAAACTTCACACGCTTCACAAAACAAGCAGCTAGACAGTAGACCTTCACTGCTAAACCCCATCATCAGTAAAAACCAAAACCCTAACTTCACCCATTTCAAAATCAAACCTTGCTCATCATCAATGGCGCTCCTCAGCGGCGGCAGATTCCGTGAGCTCCTTAAGAAGTACGGCAAGGTCGCATTGGGCGTCCACTTCTCCGTCTCCGCCGCCTCCATCACCGGCCTCTACGTCGCCATCAAGAACAACGTCGACGTCGAGTCCCTTCTCGACAAGTTGCACATGGGCGGCGTTTCCTCCAAAGACCAGGCCGACGATCAGGTCGTGTTCGAAGAGACGGTAAATCGGCCGTCGGAAGAGGTCGTCGAGAAAGAGAAGACGAGGAATCGGACGGCGGAGCTGGCGGCGTCGAGCGGCGGCGCTCTAGCCCTCGCCGTGCTCTGCAACAAGGCTTTGTTTCCGATTAGGGTTCCGATAACGGTGGCGCTCACGCCGCCGGTCGCCAGGTTCTTGGCCAGAAGGAAGATCATCAAAAACGGCGTATGAGTATGATTTTTTTTTCTCTTCTTGTAATTCTTTTTCCTTGTTTGTTCAATAAAAAACATCGAGATAAATAAAGGGCAATTTTTTCTGTTGTTGTACGGATTTTGTTACTGATATATGGAATTGAGCATTACTTATGCTTTAACTTTTAGCATTAATGGTTTCATTATTATGCTGAGCTGAGAAATTGGATGGATCAAGAGATCTTCTTTTGTATCTTAACAAGGATTTCTTGTAAACCCCCATGAATAAATGAAATATTTTTGCTTAATTTTTGCCCTTTTTTTTTTTAATTTTGATTTTAAATCAAGTGGGAAAAGAAAGGTTGTTTAGTGTTATTTTGTTTGTTTTTAGTGTTGGATTAGTTGGTATTTGGTAACACCAACTACTAAGGAGCCACATTGGTCTTATAATTTATTGAGAAGCTTTTTCAAGTAGAAATAAATATTACGAGAAATTGAAACTATTGTAAAAAATCTACTTGAGAGGTTTTTTTTTTTTTTCTTTTGTTTTCTTTTTTTGTGTTCATCTTTGTGCTATTATTGGTAATCAACCCACCTATTTAGTATTAAATTTTGCTGTCTTGTTCATTTGTAAACTTATCTGTATATTATCCCAAATGAAAGGAGAAGCAAAGTTGTGCGTAAAGGAGATAGCTTGTTAGCTTTCTTTTGGAAATTAACCATCTTTGATCTTTGTGATTTTACTCGTGTCATCACTCATCTGTGCATGAAGGAACAAAAACCATCATGGATAATGCGGCACTGGCCGACTTTGAATCGGTGTAATTAGGTTGAAAGGTGCTACAGGGCGCCACCGATGTTAAGCAACATCACTAATAAAAGATAGACCTTATGCGGTAGAATGCGTCTTCAATTAATGGGCGGTGTTGAACACTGATACCCTATATCATTATTCAATTGCATTAGATTTCTTGTAAGTATAGAAAGGAAAGTGTACTTGTTCCATGTACGTAAAGAAAAGGACTTCAACTTAAGTTTGAGGGCTTGTTCTTTTGAGTGAAAAATTCAAAAGAATGTAACTTGAGTTATAATTTTATTCGAGTTCATGTTCTTTTAAGTTTAAATTCGAGTTCAAACTCAAGTTTAGGACTAAAACTCGAGTTCAAGTTTTTCCTTCAATTCGAGTTCAGAAACTCGAACTCAAATTAATGAACAATATTTTTTCTATTCTTAAAAATACTATAACTTTTTTGTTTTAATTCTGATTTAGATAATTTTTTTTCTATGCGTTGACAACGAAAAGACGAATAAAATCCGACCCAAATACCCAATTAAAATTTTTCATCAGCATTGAGTTTTTATTAAAATACTATATAAATACAAATTTAAGTTTTGACTCACTCAAACACAAACTCAAAAAGATTCTTATCTCAAATGTACACAACCAAATACAAACTCAAGTTACAAGTTTAACTCATATTATAACTCAAATTTAACTCAAGAATTATACTCAAATTAAACTCCAAAAGAACAAGCCCTCAAAGATTTAACATAATGTAGTCTGAATTTTATGCTTTGCTTGTTTGAAAGAGCTCAAACTGTTGGTTTTCATTGGAGTAATATGGAAAGGAGCTCGTCTCTTGCCAAAGGATTTGCCACTCATAAAATGATGTTTGCATAATGCATTAACAAGGACTAAAGCCTACTTGTCATTCACACTGTTAGCGTAGTCCCAAATCAAAGGATTTTAAAAAGAAAATTAAAAGGAACAATTCTTCGGTCTATGTATGGCTAAAGGGCATTGGTTGCTCTTTCCAGTTTCTATTTCAAGATCACCAAACTCAATGTAAGCTTGCTTCTTCTCGCTTCCTAATAGCTTGTAGTAAGAAGTACTCACTTAAACCCCCTTCCCTTCACTAAGACCGCTTGGTCTAGTGACGTTAGGGTTTAAGTTGTAAGTTTAAGTCGGGTTAAACAGGCCGGCATGAGGCCCGTTGTTGTTAGTCTGGGCACGACCCGAACATTCAAATCGGGCTCGATCGAGATTTCAAGCCCAACAGCTTATTCAGGCCGCCCAAGTCCAAACACCCTTTTAAATTTTTTTTAATATAAAAAACACCTTATAAATCCGGGCAAACCTAGGCCTGGCGAGCTTTAGGGTCATGTTGAGTCAACTTGATTTGAAATTTTCATTCGGACCGTCGAGCTTGTGTTAGGCTGGATCAATCGGTCTGAACTTTCACCTCTATTGCGGGTTTTGGTGGGATGGGGTCTGGAAGAGATTTCTGTTTGGATTCCTTATTGTATTAAAAAAAAATTAAAAAAAAAGAGCTTCCTCTTCTTTTCTTATTGAGAAATTATATTTGCACCCATCAATGGAATGATCTAATTTAGTAGGCCAGGAGGGAGAGCACACCCCTCCACCTCTCCTCCCCCTCCAACCAAACAAGATATTAGACCTCTCCTTCCACGCTCTTCTTTCCTCTATCTCTCCCTCCTACCTAACATACTTTTAGTGTATATCTAAAATATGTTGTTTAATGATATGGAGCTTAATTACCTCTCATAATCTATCAAATTATGTTTCATAATCTGTCAGATTATTTTGTTTTCTCAACAAATCTCACAAGTTAAAAGCAACAATAATCAAATTAAAAATCCAAACACTGAACAAATATTGAACAATAAAAAATAATTACAAAAACAACACAACAAATCTTCAAAACAAATCTTAGATCTTAAAATCTTATATCTGAAATTTGGAATCAGATGCCGGTAAGTCAAGTCAACAAAGAAGTTGTGCCTTAACGCCACTACATGAAAAATGCATGGTGAAAAGGCAAGATCGGTTCTAGTTACCTCTTCTTCTTCAAATTTTGGTGGGCTTGAATTAGAAACTGGAGCCACTGTTGTCCGCTGAACCTCACTGTCTTGGGAAATTGGAAAGCTTAAACTCTCAGGACGTTTGATTTATGGGTTTAAAATCATAATTTATAATTTTGTTTTTAAAATTTAAATTTTTTACAAGAAAAAAATATTGTGGAGAATCAAGAATTATGATTTATAATTAAAAATTAACCTTTGAAACAAACATCCCATTAGTTACTAAATAGGTGGTCCTGAGAAACTGAATCAGACCATGTGGAAATCAACCACAGGCCTGACTACTCAACCATGAGTGTCAATTGAGATAGGTTATTATCATGTAGCTTGACAGGTTATCACTGTGGGTAGTGCATGTTTTTAAACGTTAGATGTTATCAAAATCAAATCGTATGCAGAACTTACACATTCAGATATAAAGCTATTCTATATCTTTTCATATGTAAAGATCTTTTCTCAAATGTGTTCATATGTAAAGATCTATTTCGGCTCCCTTAATTGAATGCAATTTTTTTTCAATAAAGCTATTCTACTTAATTTTTTTTTAGAATATCTTAAACTTCAAAAAAATAGCAATAAATAGATAAATTGAAAAGAAATTCATTCACATGTTTAAAAGAATTCAAGAAACTAAAATTGTATGTGCATCGCACGTGCTTTTCAACTAGTAGTAAGACTATACGATGATGTCCAAGATTGGATAAAGTTGAGGAATTCCAGACTCTTGGGGGCGTTTGGTATGCAAGAATCAGTATAAATTATATTCTTAAAAAAGTGATAAAGGGTAATATGATTTTTAAGAATAATATATTACTGTGCTTGTTTACATACCAAAATCTTTCTTAAATTTCTAAAAACATTATATTATTGTATTTGATTGTTCCAAGGAAGTAGATCCATATCTAAAAAAAGAAATAAGCATACTGAACATAAAATTAACTCCATAGACGAATCTTCTAGTTCCCTATTTTCAATAGTGCAAGTGTTTAAGGGAAAAAAAATCAAAGATTGAAAAAAGCATTTAACTTGAAGCATTACTGTATTACACGGGAACCAAACTAGTGTTGGTGAGATTGCTGTGGTTTTGAGATTTCAGGGAATGTGAATAACACTCTCTTGGGTGTTATTCAGATTACCTCAAAATGGAGTAAAGTGAATCTCATGAAATTTATTTTCTCAAGAATTTAAAAATTACAATTATTGTACCAAATATAAAAATCTTTAAGATTCTCATTCTCATCTTCAAGATTACTGCATACCAAACGCACTCTTGATAACTGCAATTCAATTATTCAGTACGCTAAAATTAAAAAACATAAAGGTTAGAACAATATAAAACGGTGACACATGATGATTCAATTACTCATTACGTTAAAATTAAAAGATAGAGGATAAAACAATATAAAATAGTGACGTATGATGATTGTTAGATCGTGGTATATATTAATTGTAGTTAAGAGAAACTGTTCGGAAGTTTTGTAGTTTGTAAAAGGAAAGCTAATGTTAGCATAATAGTGAAACACATAGCGTTTCTTAATCGCAGTGTAGCGTTTCTTAATCGCAGTGCATTAAACATTTATGGGTTGTTTGGTATGTGTTAAAAACTAATTCTGATTTTGCTATAATATTTTTCTCCTATAAAAAATTTAAATGAATAAAATTTTCGTCAATGGTTCATTGGTTCTCTCATAGTGGAATGCTTTAGTTGGCAACCATTGACCAATTACGTAGAAGTTATTAACATGCCATCCTTGTTTTTTTTTTTTTTTTTTTTTTAAATAAATAAAGTAACCGGTGAATGTCCGGTTGCAAGTTTTGCTGCCTCTTTACACCCCTCAATTGCCCCTCAATAACTTTGACCGACCGTAGGATTGCTTCTGTGTTATTAAAGCATGCCATGTTTAATCAACATTTAGAATCTTGTGGGGGAAATTTCCCACAAAATGAGAGTGGGGGACTATAGAAGAACCCATATATATATATATATAGATATATATATATATATAGTTTGCAGTAATGTTTTCTTAGATGTGGCAAAAGCTAAGTTTACGAGGCACCGGTGTTATCTTCCTGATATATGTAGATGACAAGAAACTAAAAGATATAATCAGCTACTTCATTTAGCTCACAAACCAAGTAATAGAAATGGCGAGACAATCCAGAAATTAGGGAGATTATACACCTGTGCTTGTTTTGGAAGAGCTAGAACTTGAATGAATCATATGATTGAGAGTTAAAGAGCACTGTAATTTTCACAAAAACTCGCAAAATGGTAATCGAAAAGATAGAAACTGAGGTTAAATCTAGCAGGGTCTTGGATATCTCTACTAATCACTTTCTTTTGAAATCCAAGAGGCATCTTGTTATTTATTACAGTTTTTCAAGCCTTTCAGCAAGTTTTCTTACTCCCTTAATGGTAACATTTCTTTTCAAGCATCAGCACTGTCAATAAACGAGATCATATGCAATGCAATAGAAAGGAAATGAAAATATATGTATATATAAGCATATTATGTAACCAACAATTCCTTTCGAAATTTATTTCAAGTTAGTACTCCTTTAACCCTCAAAAAGTTTGACAGAAGCCGGCATTCGAAACTTGCAAATGAATGGAATAGCCCAAAAGTCAACTCAATTGTATGGAAATTATAAAATGGGCTACAATTCTAAGGTCTTTGGGAAATAATCCACAAAACTAAGGGAGACCCAGTTTCACGAAGAGAGTGCCTTTTGAACCTCAGATGTGACCTCTTTGGGAGGTTTCTCTGCATGAAGATTTGCAACAATGCTCTTCTTGGAGTAGTAGTCAATAACCTGAAATTTTTATAAAAACGCCATTAAAGACTTGATAAATAAAGATAAAAGTGAAATAAAAAAGGGTGAATTCCACTGAAAAAAAAAAACAAAAAAAACAAAACAAAACTAGAAAGTTAGCTAAACACCGATCGCACAACCTGAACCAAAAGTAGATTCTTTCAGTGTAATATAGGAAAAGTGTACATCAGAAATAATGAAAGGCTATCAAAATTTTAAAACATCCAACACACGCACAGGTTAGAGATGTGGAAACAAAAACATGGTATCAGAATTAATTACAGCAGCGACATCTTCATTATCCAGACCTTTTATAAAGATGCAGATAAGAATTAAAAATATCAGCACCAGACCTAAACATGCATCATCAAAAAGCTGAGAACTTAGATTAAGTCTCTTACTAAAGCAAAAGAATATAGCAAATAGGAAGCATACTGGTTCTGTTTGCCTGTGGAATGCCTCAAGCCTTGACTTCAGAACAGCAGCAGTGTCATCCTTGCGTTGAATCAAAGGCTCTCCAGTGACCTTGGACAAACGAGATCAAGGAAATATCAGCACAACAAAACATAGTACTATCATGATAACGAACATCATAAAGAGGATCTTAATGATGAGCAGAATCAGATTGATCTACTAATGAACTGGTTGAGAAATCTGTCCAATTTGTCAATTGTCAATAAACCTAGCATCGTCTAGTGTTCTATTGATATCGTCTCTTTGTATTTAGAAATATTTTCCCTGAACCCTTAAAACGCAAAAAGAAAAGTTTAAAGAAAGGAGGATTAACTTACATCATCAACACCGGAAACCTTGGGAGGTGCATATTTTGTGTGATAGGTTCTACCACTGGAGGGGTGTATCCACCGGCCAGTAATCCTCTCCTCTAAGATTGAATCATCAATTGCAAAGTTGAGAACCTTGTCCACTTTGGCTCCTTGCTTTTCCAACATCTCATCAAGCTGCAAACAAAAGGAAGCGACTCTAGTTAGAAACATGAATACACACAGTCACAATAACATACAATGTAAGTGAAATAAAATCGAGAGCCGAAGTAAGTGATAAAAAACCAGATGCTAGGCAATGTTGAACCTTCTGTGCCTGGACCACAGTCCTAGGAAATCCGTCCAAAATGAAACCTTTCTGACATGAAGGCTTCTTCATTGCTTCATCAATGATGCCAACAACTAAGTCATCAGAAACAAGTTCTCCCTGAAAAATAGTTTTGACACACATTAAAAATTTTATAATGAGAACAACCAAACAAGAACTCACAAAGTTTAATAGTAAAATAAAACAGCAGAATAGAGATTGTACCTTGTCCATAGCCTCTTTGGCTTTGATCCCAAGAGGAGTCTTGGCAGCAACCGCGGCTCTCAGCATGTCACCAGTAGCCAAATGGCATAGGCAGTTCTCATCCTTGATAATTGGTGATTGGGTACCTTTTCCTGATCCAGGTGGACCTGAACCATATAATTTTAAGGGTCAAGCAAGTAAACCAAGATAAACTACTTGCAAAATAATAATAATAATAATAATAATAATAATAATAATAATAATAACAATAAATAAAAATAAAATTAAAGATTAACAAGATTTTCGATGTGTTCGGTTCATGGGTTTAACCACAATTCAAAACTTTTGCTACAGTGTTTTCTCTCACGAAAGTTGAAATTTCAGTCCAAACTTTTTGTTCAAACGTATAAACCACTTTGGGAAAAAAAGTTGAAGACAAGAAAGAACTATTAGAATTCATCTGAGAATAAAGGTATGCCAACAGGCAATGCACAAGAGTGTCAGAAAAAGGTCCAGCAAAGAGATCTGTTACTAACACTCAATCTTCCATTTCCTTGTACAAACCAAAAAGATTGCAACCAATTGAGGAAAATTCAAATGGTTGACCTAACCTTTTCCCTTAATTTATCAATTTCTCTTATCCACATTTTCTCCAAAATTTCCCATATTTTCTCAGTAAAAAAAAAAAAAAAAAAAAACCTTAAACAGAACAAATAATTCAAAATTCGAAAAAGAAAACCCTGAAAGACGCATGAATCAGCCCTAAAAATTCAACCTTGAAACCAAAAACACATCGAATTCCCGGATCTGACTGCATTCAAACACCAAAAATCAAACTTCCCAGAAAAGCGAAAAAAAAAAAACAGGAGCTAAAACCTCCATACACGAAGAAGAAAAAAGCAGAGACAGAGAAAAGAAATTTTCACCGATGAGAATGAGGCGCTTGTCGGGCTTGGAGGCGCACTTCATGCGACGGAGGAGCTCAGTCATGAGATCAACGGAGGGCACGTCTTCCAAGTTCGCCATGGATGAATGCTTGCGCACTCTGCTGGTGCTTCTCTAGGGTTACGGTTTGTCTCTGGTTTGAGAGAGAGAGAGAGAGAGAGAGAGAGATTTATGGCCGCCGAGAGAGACTCAAAATGAGAACGAAGAAGGTGCGGTTAGGATTTCGGAACCCCCAATGCTTCAAACACAAGAAGCAGCGGTGTTTACCAGATTTCTGTTGAAATGACTTTATTGCCCTTGCATTTTTGTTAAAAGGGTATTTTGTCTTGTGCTCGAGTCTTAAAAGAATATTTGTGTTCTCTAATGGTATTATGGTATTTTGGCTATTTTATTTTTTTCTTTTTCTTTTTTATTTTCCGCACTGCAATACAACTTTCTATAAATAAATAAATTCACCAACTTCTGTTGAGTTCTCTACCTTGATTTTCAATCTTTTTTGGTTGAATGTTTGGTCTAACGATATTTAAGAATACTATTTTGGTATATTTTGGGGGAATGTATTCATGCGGTGTAATTTGGACCGTTATTTATATATGAACGTTTTTATCATTTATAAGCTAGACCGTAGACTTTTTAAAATTAGTATTCAACTTCTGACCAGCAAAAAGTTGAGAGGAGTATTTGGCAAAGTAATAAAAAAAAAAAAAAACACTAACAAATGTGTTATATTTAAGTCTCGTTCACTTTATAAATTTAAATTAAGATGTGATATTTTTAAAAAAATTTAATTATAAAAATTTATAACTAAAAATTTAAATTAGTAAAATGAATTAGATCTAAGTTGTTTGGTTAGATAACAACCAACAGGGAATAAAAGATAAGGAGAAGAACAATATCTAGAGTGACTTGGGTCTCACTTTCCTTTTTTTTTTTTTTTTATGCATTCAAAGTGAATTCTTTTGAAATAAAACTAGCTATACTCCAATGAATAGTAAAAATACCTATTTATCCTTATTTTCTTAAATAACTATAGTTAATGATAAAATAGTCAGTCACTTGATGACATATCTTGATATCTTCTCTCTTTATTTCATTTTGTTTCATTAATATTTTCTATTTATGTTTTTTATATCTTGTTTTATATTTCTTTTAAACATCTCATGTTCTTGTCAAAGACAATGTAAATAACCCGAATAACACTTTCTTTATTAACAGATGAGTAATAATAGAAAGAGAAAGTGTGATGTTAGTATAATTATGCAAAATTCGGTTAATAATTTACTTTATTATTTTTTTTTAAAAAAAGGAAGAAGAAAAGATCATCATCATTATCTTTTTTCGCTGGCTTGAATGGATATTTACAATTACTAATTTAAAATATGGAAAGCTATGCGAATTTTTATTTGTTTATTTTCGACTACTGAAAACTTTGATATCTATTAGTAAAGGATTCGTATACTTGCAAAGTAAAATATTAGTAGGTGGTTGGGTTATTGGAAATAATAGTTTGTCATTTTCTAATAACTGTTCTTTCTTTCTACCTAGATAAATAGTAGTTTTAGATACAACGTTTTACACGTCAAAAAAGTGATATGCGGATTTGTTTTTAAAGAAAAATACTATAGATACTGTTAATAATACAATTATCGAGTATATATATATAATCAATGTATTAAAACTATCATATTACTATGGAATTTATTAATTTTAACTTTTGTCATGCGATAATTTTATGTTATCGCCGTACTTTGTTTGTAATGATGTATTGCTAATCTAACGATAGAGACAAAGGCTTAGTTTGATAATACTGTAGATTTTGAAAAAATTATTTTTAACTGTACTGAAGGAATAAATAGTTGTTATAAAAAACAGCTGAGTATTTGGTAAACTATAATTATAGTAGCTGTGTTGGTTTCAAAATCAGTGTAATAGCATTTGGTAAATTATGAGGTTGAATTGTTATGGATAGTTAAAAATTATGACTATATTATATTATATTATATTATATATGTAATTATAATATAATATATATTTATTATTATATTTAATATAACACAAAAAAACTATTATTATATAATATATTATATAATTATGATATAGAATATAATAATATTATTAAAATAATAATTGAAATAATTAAAAATAATGATCATATTATATTATATTATAATATAACATATATAAGTACAATATAATGTATATTTATTATTATATTTAATATAATACAATAAAACTATTATTAAATAACATATTATATAATTATGATATAGAATATAATAATATTATTAAAATGGTTAATATAATTACAATATTATAAAACATATTATAATATTACGT